TAATTTTATTATGTAATGATTGTACACATTGAGCAATGTCAAAATACTTGAAACTAGCCCTCAGATGGGTTTAATAAATTATGAGCCAAAATAATGACCAGCTTCCAAGTGGCTTTTTAGCTCAGTTGGTAGAGCACTGCACCGGTATCAGAGGTCATGGGTTTAAATCCCTTACAGGCCTGAATTTTTTTCAGGCCTTATTTCCACTACTACATAAGTCAGGTTCTTAACTGCAAGGATCACTTTCATACATTTTCATGAAATCGCAGAACACATAAATTATATGATTTTCATAAATTCATATTGATTTACTTGAAACTAAATTATGCAGACTTTCCCTTTTTTAAAGGTATCAAATTTTGTCCAATTGCAATGCTTTGTAGGTCACACAGTTCGCCTTCTTGGTCAGAAGAAAGTTGGTGGAAAGAAAACAGGAGGAGCTCCTCTAGACCTTCCAAAAATTCGAAAAAATCCTCTAATAGAAATTATAGCCATAAACACTGGGTGAGTAAAATAATATATGGACATAAGATAAGCCCTATTGGCCCTGTAACTCCCAGATCTGATTGTTAACTCCCCCCTCTAACTGCTATGCGTTTCCTTGTATATTTTACAGTGTATACTATAAGAATGGTATTAGATCAGGATAACAACTTATACCTGATCAGTTTGCATAATTTATTCTTACATGTATTACTTGTTTGCTGGATAATGTGTGGATATTATCGAAAAAAGCCACTTGTTAATCAGCTCTGTCAGTCTGCAGAAAAGGAGATTGTAAGATTCATAAAGGGACAAATTTACTGTAGAGGTTCAAATTATCACCAAGGTTACTCATTACAGTATAGATGTTCTGGCTCAAAAAGAGGCACTGGTTTTAAGAGGGCACTTATTTGATTGTGTCTACATAATATGGCATGTACATTGATCCATATACACCCTGTACATACTTATTTGACATTAATTTTGATGTGATAATAATATTGATACATGTAATTCTTTAAAGGTGCTTGAACCAGTGCACTTACTGCAAAACTAAGCATGCGCGAGGTGATCTGGGCAGTTATCCTCCTGAAGAGATTATAGCAAGGGCCAAGCAAGCCTTTGAAGGTAAAAGGAAGTCTGCCATGTCATTTTGATTTCTTATCTTGCACATACCGTAGTGTTCTTTTATGGTTATTATACATACTCATGCAGAACATCAAATATACCGGTAATTGGTTTGCACAGAACATTTTGAAAATTAATACAAAACTTTTGCTTAAACAAGAGTTTAGAATGTTCATTAACTTGCTTCCTTCAGAGGGAGTTGTTGAACTGTGGTTGACCAGTGAAGACACAGGAGCTTATGGCAGAGATATTGGAGTGACATTACCTGAGTTGCTGTGGCAACTTGTAGAGGTAATTCCAGAAGGGGCTATGTTGAGGATTGGAATGACAAATCCACCTTACATTCTGGAACACTTGGAGGTAAATGCAGTATGATTTGTCAGTCTACATATAGGGAGGTAGCCAACATTCCTACATGCTAGCCCACTGCAGGTCAACCAACCAACCCCCCCTCCACCACCCCCTAAGCAATTGTTAAGGTGCTGTGGAATTTAAAATCCTGGCTGGGGAGAGGCAGTTTTGAGGTAAAGCTTTTTCCCCCCAGACACACTACAGGGACCCAGTCAAGGTTGAAATACAAGCCTCTTTATTCAGAGCCTAGAAAGCTGAACCATCAACAGATGCAGATCACGTTACAGTTTGCACAGTCAAGAAAAATACACCTTTGTTTACGACATTGATGTGCTTAAGCATGTCTGTTTTATTTGCTACTATTCTGTTGCACAGGTCTTTATCACTTCCCCCATGCAGAGATTGATTGCACAGCTTTTACAATGTTTTTTATCCCCTTTTGTTCAGGAAATGGCAAAGATATTGAACCATCCTTGTGTTTACAGTTTCCTGCATGTTCCTGTTCAGAGTGCATCAGACAATGTTCTGAGTGACATGAAAAGAGAATACTGTGCTGATGATTTTCGTCATGTTGTGGATTTTTTAAAAGAAAAGTAAGTCCTCTTGATGGAAATAATTTAACAACCATGTTTCTACCTTGCTGTGAAGCAGAAGGTACTCATGAAAGAGATCTTTACGTATGATGCACGATCCTTTGCAGTAGATACCGCAGTTCAAAATATATAAACTTCATATATTCATTGTATCTGAAAGAAATATTTGGCAAATTTTTATTTGGCAGTTTTTCCTTAGTCCAGTCACTGTTTAGGGGATACATTAGGTTGTCCTCTACTGAAAACTGGCTCTTCAGGGTTTGTGAAGGATTTACTAATTGTCTCTGAGGAGTTACTAGCAACTAATTACTTGTTACAATATCACCCCTGAATCTGATTAAGGTCATAACAATAAAGATCACCAACAAAAGAAGCTCTTGATTTCTAACAAATTCTTCAAGTCAGCACCTTAGGAGATGTATACCTGTATAGAGAACAGCATCAAGAAGTCATGCATGCTGCTGTTGTATAGAAGGAAAACTTGCTAAATTGTAAGGCTTATTATTGCCAGATTTGTGATGAGGATTTTCTAGTATCCTGTTGCCCTTAACCTTTTACACCCTAACATCAGTATGCATATGCTCCAAACTGTTCTCTACTCATTTCATGTGGTGCCAACAAGGAGAATTAATTGACGATCAAGAGCTTCTTGAGTTGGCGATCATTTCCTTTATTCTCGTGACCTTACTGTTTTACTCAGCAGTGATAGGGTAAGGAGAAACTAGAAACCAGTCACTCTTAGGGGTTAGAGGGTTAAAAACACTTGAAGCATTCAGGGTTCCATGCCCCTTGAAAATCCTTGAATTTAATTTTCTGTTTTCAAGGACTTGAAAACCCTTGAATTTAGACACAGGTCCTTGAAAATTTCTGAAAAGTCCTTGTAAAGAAGTGCAGATGAGTCAAAGTCGAAGTTTTCTTAAAGTTTTGTGTTTGGTGTTAAAAGTGTAAGTTTCTAGCAAAAATTGCAAAAACGAGTTTTCCTTTCAAATCCCAAGTCCGATTATCTGACAAGTGATTTTTATATGTTTTGTACCTGATTGGTGCATTGAAATAACCTTGGTTACCTACCACGTGATCACTGTGATGTGTATGCTTGAAGTTACGCTCATTGGAATTTTTTGCCACTTCTATTTAATGCAAAAGGTCCTTGAATTTGAGAGCCAAGGTCGTTGAAAATGATCTAAAAAGACCTTGAAAGTCTTTGAATTGGGTTCCTTGAAAAGTGCAAGAACCCTGAACATTTGGTTCCAATCATGAAGAAAAATTGTCATGGAAATCCTTTTTGATCGTGTACATGAAATGATACCTGCTACATATGCATTTGTTTATTTATGATATCAGAAAATGCCAAGAGTGGACAAAGGATCAGTTTGTTTTGAGCAGTGTTACCATCACTCTTGCATGTATCTAGTATTTAGTGGACCTAGATCTTGGCGAATTGTAACGCGATAAGTAAAAAAAACAAAAGAAAACTACAATTAATACAAACATTGTTATCAGCAATGGAGCAAAAATATCTGTGGCATACAGTGTACAATTGAGTGTAAATGACATTTGTTTTTTGTTACTGAGTCATTGTTTTCCAAATTTTTTTTTTAGCAAACTTCTCAACAAAAATATGGAAATATTAAATAGAACTAGAACCAGCCATTCAAGGCTATTCGATTCTCTTTATATTGTAAGCCGGCTCTACGGCAGAGTGCAAGCTCAAAGTTAAAGCGTTTGAATCTAATCCCCAGGGTACCAGGGGAAACCATTGCAACAGACGTGATCTGTGGCTTCCCTACGGAGACCTGGGAGGACTTTCAAGAGACAGTGGCTTTAGTTGAGCAGTACAAGTTCCCCAGTTTATTTATTAATCAGTTTTATCCTCGTCCTGGGACACCTGCGGCAAGGATGAAAAGACTGCCGACAGAAGAGGTACATGTACAGTGCACTGGCTAATTCATTGTTGCTGTCAGCAATGGCTAGGGGTGTACTTTCATGCTAACTTGTCATTGGGTTCCAAAATATTCAGGTTAAGAAGCGAACAAGGGAAGTATCCAAAGTTTTTCACAGCTACCATCCGTATGATCACAAGGTTGGCTTGTCTTAAGCGTTTATCTTTTTGCTGCTATTTTTTTTTTTTCGTTTTTGTTTGTTTGTTTATTCCCGTATTTTGTTTATGTTTGTTTGTTTGCTTGCTTGTTTTATTGCTCTGTTTTGTGTGGTGGAACAGAGAGCCCGATGCTGTGGTGTTATTTGTATTCTTGTGTTTCTGTTAAGGTGGGTGAGCATCAAAAAGTTCTTATAACAGAAGACGCAAAAGATCAAGCTCACTTCGTCGGTCACAACAAATATTATGATCAAGTAAGCATTACCCATTTCTCTGTTTCTCTGGTTGGTTAACTAATTTATTGGTCAATTGGGTATTTTCCTTACCACGAGTCGAGCCTTTCTTCTTCACGTACATTGTGAATGTTAGCCCTTGATGCCCTCGATGTCATCTTTCCTTGCATGTTGTTTGCTGCTTGGCGCTTGCAACTTGCCGGGTGACGCCTCTGGACCTTGGGCGTTCAGTCGTCAATCGCGTCATTAGGGAGCTTAAGATACAGACGTTTTCGGGGCGACGGCGACGTGACAACCCAGGTAGACTGGGCCAGAGGTTGCTGTTTTCGTGCCATAATTTAAGCTGTTAAGATTCTGATGACGGACGGCCGGCCTTTTCGACTTCGACGAGTTTAATTAATTGTTGCGCTTTATAAATTAAGGCTTTTTTGTCGTAGCATGGCTACGTTTGAAGAATTCCGCCATCTCTTCGTCCTTTACTACGACGCTAATCTTATTAGTGATGAAGAGTTCTTGGTTTTGTATGAAATGTTTCCGTCTAAAAATCTCAATTTTCCATATGAAAATGTTCATAGATCTGAGGTGTACGTTTTGCTGGTGCATCTACGAATTGATAGAGGCAATGGCAGCAAGCAAAAATTCCCTTTTATGTTAAGAATTCAAGTACTGTACGCGTACGTGCCCAAAACTTACCTCGACGATTTGGACTTAACTATTGCTTCGGTCATTTTAACCAAAGGAGAAAACAAAAGGTCTCTTGAGTTGGCCGAGACATCGTGTGATGATATGTGCGAAATGTGATAATGCAATCACTTTAATACAAGTGACAAAATTGGCAGTATATTAAATAACACAAACAAGATCAACTCACGTTTTCACCACGACGGCAAACTCACTGATCTCACGTCGCCGACGTGAGGGCGACGGCGGGGCCGCATGCGCAGTCAATCTCGCGCCAATCTTAATCGGTCTCCACGTCGCCGTCGCCCCGAAAACGTCTGTATCTTAAGCTCACTATTGTCACTCTTCACCGTTGCCAGTCGTGTCATCATCGGCTATCTTCGGTCGTCGAATTTTTGTTACTGGTGGTTTTCTTAGAGGCTGAAGGTTTCAGATGGCCTTAGACATGAAACGTGGAATAAACAGTCTGTTTCGCTCTTTCTTTCTCCTGGAAACTGCAACTTAACCAATCCTTGCTCTTATATTTAGGTTCTCATTCACAAAAGTGAGGGTGATCTCATGGGTAAAATGGTACAAGTAGAGATCACATCTGCAGGAGAGCACTTCCAAATGGCACGTGTCCTACGCCATACCGAGGTTCATTCACCTGGTCTGGTCGAGCCGTTACCAAAAGGTGCTGTCAGCGGTGATCGTACTACGCTCACGTCCGAAAGAGTCGTTCAGGGTCAAGCAAGTCGTTGGCAGCAATGGCAAAGAGCTGCAGTGGTTGTACTTCTAGCAGTTGTTTTAGCGGATGTTTTGAGAATTTTGTATTTATGGACCAGTCAGTGAAATTGTGATGGAAATACATTTGTACAAGATTCACTATTTACAAAGTGCACCAATCTGAAATTTTTATGAAAAAATAGCCATTGCTTACACAAAAAGAATGAAACTGATTACAAAGAGTAGATTATTTCTTCTTTGCGTATCACCGAGGCAGCTGATGCATTGTTGTTGGCAAAAGTTGATAAGTTGATTTCTTGTTCGAATGCGTATACCAGTAAAAAACTTCTCCACAGGGAGTGATATACTCTTTTACCAACTTTGGATGGTAAAAAAAAAAATTGAGTGAAAGCATTGTACTTTGTATTTCAAGTGAGCACTATAAGGAATTCTTGGTGAACCTACGCCTTGTTTGAGTTCTGATAAAACAAAACAATCTCTCATACCCATAATTCAGTATATACACCCGTGGTTACTCAATTCCCTATTCTGTTCGCACAAATATTTCAACTCTCATACAAGGATAATTCGAATACGTGACAGGGTAAAGCCGGATAAATCTTGCTCGAGCTGGGCTCCGAACCACATGTTGGACAATGGTGTTCTTATCCGTGTTTCGTCCAAATATCTGCGGCAAAAGGTAAAGCACAGTTTGAAAAGTAGCTACCGTTGTTTTCAAACTCGTCTTACGAAGAAATGAGTCGGAGAGTTGAAAAAAATTACGAATATTCGCTTAATGAAAAAAGCATTAAAACTGTAATAGACTCGTCAATTTTATTAATCACCCAAGAAGGAAAATCACACCAAAAATTGACCTGATTTTCTTTTCTGAACTTCACGTCGTTATCGTGACGAGTAGAACACTAATGGACGAATCAGATCTCTACCTTTAAGATCAGTAATGCGATTTTGTAATCCTCCCGTGTTTTAGACATGTCTTAATTACAGTGAATAATGGTTGGGGGGTGTATACTTCGTGTCAGCTCATTAATTCTCTGTACTTGTAAAATTACCTAATTTTCTTTTCTTTACCTTATCTTTATTGGACTCTTTGTACACCATCCATTGTATCCCATCGATGGACAATTGCAGTTTGTAGCTTTTCACGTATGACCCAGTGAGTTTCCCTTGTGTTGCTACAGCACAAACAGAGTAAACCTCGCCCATGTCGATTTGAAGGTAGTCTGCCCTGTTAGTTTTGGTCTCAGCACACCATCCTCCGCCTCCTCTTGATCCATTAAGTCGTCCGTAATACGCATAGTAACTTATATAATGTGAGCTTGACGACATCCTAGCATCGGATATCTTGTTTATGTCAGCCACTCCCACCGGCGTACAAGCTTGGGCTGAGAGTACAGTTAAGTTTTCATGTCAGCAACTCGGGTGAGAGACAGTTTAAAGTATGCCCTTAAGTCAGCAAGAGCGCATATCAAAACTTGTATAGAAATCAAACATTACTTTCTACTTTCAATCAAATTATAATGAGGGAAGTAAGGAGAAACTGAACTGATCTCTTGAGGAGTGAAATAAACAGCGAACAGGCCAAAAAAAAAAAAAATTGGAACGAGGCTTGGCTGAATTCCCACGCGAGAAATAGCTCCTTACGATAAGGAAAGTTCAATCAGAAAATAACATTAGTTAAGTGGTCTACACAGCATACCTGTCAAAACTGTTAGCTGCACGGAGGTGGAGGTTGTAGATACACCAGCTGACGACGCCACACAAATATATTTACCAGAATCCTGAGAATTGACTTTCCAAAGATTCAGTGTTCCATTGATGCTAACATGCGATCTTCCAAGTGGTAGTATGCTATTTTCCCTCAACCAGGATACCTTGGGCGTTGGCTCACCTCTAGCTTCACAGCGTAAACTAACATTTCGACCAGTATTTACAGAAAGCTGTGGAGGTGGTCTGGTGGTGATTACTGGATCATCGACAACGATTAGATGTGTTATGGCCACAGCGACCCCGATAGTGTTAGTAGCCTTGCATTGGTAAAATCCCGAATCTTTCTTATGAGTGTTTATGATCGAAAGTTGCCCATTCCTGATGTCTCTCATGCGTGGATGTGAGTCAGGGATTGATATCTTTTTCCAAACGATGTCTGCCGCTGGAAAACTGGCAACAGTGCACTTTGGAAGCTTGATTGTTTTACCAACTGCCACGTAGGAAGGGCCCGCTCTAAGGGAAATTTTCGGCGAGGCTGATTCAAGAAAGTAAAATGAGGAAATAAAAAATTTTACAGATATTTTTGCTGTAAAATGTAACTTTTCCGGGAGCGCCGAATTTTTTGTGAATGATAGACGAGACCGCACGCGAAACAAACAGTGTTAAAGGAAAACCCACGCAAATCTGATATGAGTGAGTGTCTTTTATCCTTCTCCGAGAAGACAATGTGTAAGCCAGGCAATTTGAGTAGAGTACTGTGTGGTACGTTAAACCTTTAACCCCTTAACTTCCAAACTGATCTGATTGTTAATTCTCCCCTCCAGCTGCTACACATTTCATTGTAAATTAGCTTTGAAAATTTGTTGTTGAATCAAGATAACAACTTCTTCCTGATAAGTTTGACTATTCTCATGCCCCGTTTGCTGGATATTGTATGAATAGTATAGGGAGAAATTACATGTAAATCACTTCTGGGAATTAAAGGGTTAACCCCTTAGAGTGATTAGCATACAATTTCTCCCTAAGGTATAATCCCTGAATCAAGCTGATTAAGCCCCTGAGAATAGAGAAAAAAATCGCAAACTCAAGAAACTCTTGATTGTTTGATTAATTCTCCTTGTACTTACAATAGGAATTGTATGGAGAACAGAATAGGGAATATGCATACTGATATTGAATCATTTAACAATTATTCACCGAAGGCGAAGTGGATATAGCTGAAGGATTCCCGAGAAGAAGTCGAGGAGATTATTCAACAATATTCACCAAGTTAAAGGAGAATAATTGTTTTAGTATAATCGCTTAGATGCTTAGTCGAATGCTGCTGCCAATATTCGTTTTAATGTTGAAACCATTCTGTTTCAATTGTTTTGATCACTCGTATCGAGATTAGCAGCCAGTTTCCACTAGAATTTGATAGGTTAATTGAATTCAATAAGCGAAAACTTCATATCTTTCTTTAAAAAAAAATGTCACTAAAAACTTAGTAGCATCTTTTGCGCTTATCGGAGTGAATTTTCTTTATCGCGTTCAACACTTCCTCGGTAACACTGACAAAACGCGAGGCAATCATTTAAAAATTTAGAGGTGATTAAAGCGAGATATGACGCAATCCTCGACCAATCAGAGCGCGCGCATCCGCATAATCTTCGGAGCAATCATACTAAAAAGGGTTAGAGGCTTAAGAGGGAGTAATGTTTACTTCCTCAAGCCTCTGCACTTACATTACAGTAACACTCTCTGACTTACTTTGAACCACGACCTGGGTGATCTTTTCATCATTCCCAAGAACATTGCTTCCCACACACTTGTAGGTGCCGGAGTCTTCTGCGAGCACACCATGTATCTGCATCACTCCGTCGGCGGTTGTCTTCATCCTGTTTCTAGGTAACGATCCTGTCGTCTTTGACCAAGAAAGGTGAGGTTTAGGATTTCCTGAAGCAGTGCAGGTAAGTGAGACGGTGTCAAATTCCTTGACAGTTATTTGTGATGAAGAAATTGCCACCTTTGGGGTGGAAATAGATTCTCCTGGTTCGCCTTTAATTCCTGGAATACCCGGCGTCCCGATCTCTCCCTTGATGCCTTTTTCTCCTCGTATACCTGGTGGTCCTTGCTTACCACCTCTACCAGGCGGCCCCATCATTCCTTGTACTCCCCTCTTGCCCACTCTTCCTCGGTTGCCCTTCTCGCCCTTGGGTCCAGTTCCGCCTCGTGGTCCGGGTGGCCCTGCTGGGCAAAAATTTCCGTGTTTTCCTTTCCGTTGGCAGATCTTCATGCTTAAAGTCACGATGTTCTCTAAAAGTCCTCTTACATTCGCCGTTTCATTGCTTGAAGAAGCCATCTGACTAGCACTTCTTGGGAATCTTTGATGTAGAAAGTTTGCGTGTTTCCGAAAATCTGCAACTCATAATATTTAAATTACTGGTTAGAAAATTGACATTTCGGTCGTGCGATAAAGGAGGAAAGTCATTGCGAAATTTATTTCAAAGATTTTCAAAGTTAAAATGAGAAGAAGAGATGTTCACGTGACAGAAGGATGAAAAGATAATCTAAAATTTGGCCACGGGCCAGGGCATAAAGACTGAGATCTGAAGAAAAATTTTCTGTTTGTGGACGTGGTTCTCTTATACATTGAAATAAAACACGCCCTCTCTGGAATCGTAACTGTATTGCACGTCTTGTAAATGCAAAACTGCTCACTCATCATGAAACATATAATCAGTCATAGTGCGAGGGTCAGACAGAGGTAAGAATAGCAGCTTCTGTATCAAATTATTTCAAAGCATAAACTTCATGATGTTAGGCTCAATCGCAAAGAGCTCAAGTCTGTTCGATTTTCACATTCAAAACATTTTTCCCCTCCTTCGCATCAGAACTTAATATCTATCTTAACCGTAAAAACTGAAACGTGGGAGTAGAGTTACGAGGATCAAGTGATCATACCTGGGAATTTTTAATGGCGCCCTTTGTCTTCGTAAATATAACTCTGTCAATGTTTATTACTATTTAACCATGTTTACCCCCACTTTGGTCGGTCACAGTTCGCCGACAGTTTGACTTTAGCCACGAACACTATCATACATTTTTACTATTCTAGCATGGGAGACCTTATCTAGAAATACACCATAATCGTCTTTTACCTTCGTTCGAGTTCAAGTTCTCCCTCGCTATCTTGTGTTTCATCAGAGCGACGACTTCCTCAACAATATCCAGCCTGCGATCGTGATCATCAAACTTCAGCTCGATTCTAACGAATCCAGTGGAGTAAAGGATCAAATAGAAAACAAACAACACTGCGCCTGAGCTCAGCGAAGAAGCCGTATCCTTTGCAAACATTTTGAACGTGATCGAAAATCCAGAGGAGTAACCCGATCATCTTAAAATTGATACTGCGCTGACTGGACTGAACTGAACTGAACGTCATGAGCTCAAGAATTCATATGAAACTCGAAGCTGTTTTTCTTGAGCTGAGTCCCAGTGCATAATTGTTCTCAGATCAAAACTTCTAGACTGGCTTGAACAAACAGCAATCCGTTACACGCGACGATGAGGAAGGATGGAATCAGAATGCTTTTCTCTTTTTTTAGCCATCTTTTGTATATTCTCGTTAAAGGAGGAGTTACTGAAAGTCCCTAAAAGAAAACTACAGGCGTTAGCCTCGTTAGGCCCTCGCGCGGTGGGCCAGCAAGACCGATACAACACCCTGGAGTATTTTTATTGATACGGACATCATCTGCCAACCTTTTTTTGTCGGCTACCTTGGTCTGGCAATATTTATTGATGTGTTCTTGTAGAGGTGATTCTCTCAATGATAATAAGCAATGGTATCGCCCATGCACACCGTAAAGTATCAAGTGCACTCCCCCGGCCTTTCCCTCCCTTTGGGGATCGTATAATCAAGCAATTCAAAGGTTTCAATCAGTGATTATCTTTTTATAATGGATAAATAACTAAAAGAAAGGTTGACACAAATTTCTGTCTCAGTTACTCTTTTTTGGTCCTCAAACTGACTCTCACGAAGGATACTATCGGCAGGGGCGATTCATCTGCCTCAACCCGAACGCTTCAAAATCATTAATTAAGGTGAATATCAAGGAAATTTTTTAAATCTTAATGGGATCAAATTCGACAAGACAAGATAAGATAAGATAAGATAAGATAAGATAAGATAGTTATGTGGATAAATAGTATTTATCCAAGAGCATTTAGCCTACTAGTTTACAATGCGCGCGTATAAAAGACTTGTGTAAGGCACAATAGCAAATTCTTATTATGGTGCTTAGCGATAAGTAAACGGTGCAAGGTTTCATTCGTTTTTCATACTTCTAAAGTTATTCACATCACTAGTAATTCTAGCATTGCGTGGTAGATTATTTCGAAGGTGGCTGGCTATGGATGCAAAGGAATTAAGGCACCACTTGCTATTAAAAGAATTTTGCTGAAGCTTAGTGGGACCTCTATGTTTGAGTCCAAGAATGTAAGAACAAGGGTTGGAAAGTGAGAGGACAGTGAGGGGATATATGCTCGACCACTCGAACTAGTCTGCCAACGCAAAGGCGAGGATGTTTACCTTTGGAGCTAAAATATGAGAGTGAGGGATTAAAAATTAAGATCTCATGATAAGTTAAGAAAATGCTTCTTACTCCTTGTTAATGGAAGTCGGAAACGATACACTCGACCACTCTACCTGTTCTGGCGACCCAAAGACGATGAGCTTTATGTTAGAACCCAACAATCAAAGAAAATGTAATTAAGAAATTTAGAAGATATTTTTTTCTTTTTTTTTTTTTTAATAAGATAAGAGGATATCTCTTTGGTTCTTTTGGTTGGAGTCGACCAACGGACATGCTCGACCACTCGAGCTAGTCTGCCAACGCAAAGACGAAGATCTATAGAAATTCTTGGTCCAAAGAATTAAAGAATAAGGGATTTAGAATAAAGATTATATCTCCTTGGTTTAGTAAAGTTAAGATGATATATCTCTAGCTCTAACACTAGGAGTTGACGAACGGATACACCCAACCACTCGACCAAGTCTGCCAACGCAAAGACAGAGACCTATGTTAGGACCCAAGAATCTAAAAACTATTTGTACAAAAATGTTTAAGACTTGTTTCTTTTTTAATGAGATAAGAGAATATTTTATTGCTTCTATCGGTGGGTTGACGGGGGTTGACTAACTGATATTTTCGACCGCTCGAAATAGTCTGCCAACGCTAAGACAGAGACCTGCGTGTTTGGAACGAAGAATTTAAGAAAGAGGGATTGAAAATTTAAGATAATATCTCCTTGATTTAGAAAGGTCAAGATGATACCCTCTAGCTCTATTAGTGGGAGTCGACAAACGGATACACTTGACCACTAGAGGAACTTCCCAAACGTGGACGTGCTGGTATTTCCGGTCGTCGCGGCGATAACCGGAAGTACGTCTGCGTTCGTTAGCCACACTTATTCCGTAAAGATTTACTATATTGAGCAACCTGTTGCTTCGTTACGCAGTAATTTGGTAAGCAAATAGTTTGTTCAAGTTGATAATTAAACAGCCTAGTGTCCAAATACAACTTGTCTTCGAACCTACTTTGTATAGAATTTTTCGCTTTTTGCTTGATTGTTCGCTCCACCATTCAATAAACCACTGAAAGTGAACTTGCCAATAGGACTGATGATAAAAGTAGTTAAGGCCTATTTGCCACCCGTATTGTGTACATATCTGTTCAGTGGCCCTTACAGTTCTCCCACCATGCATGTTATTTTAAGAGGCACGACGGTAAGTGATTGATTTTAAAAATAAGAACTATAAATATGTCCAACCGGATTTAAACCCCATTCCTCTATAAATCTGACCAACACATCAACTGGCTTGAAGGTAAAGCTAAGCTGGATCTAACTATTCAAGAGTAGCCTATTGGCTCTTTCTTGGTTGGTAACTCCATTTGACGAAAAAGAAAAGATCTGCGAACACAAGTCCTCAACAGGTAAAGAAAACCTAACACTATGACACTAAACACCTGCTGAACCCTTTTTTCTTTCCTTTTTTTTATTATTTGTGTTCTTGAGAAACTCATTCAAACGAAAGTTCCTTTAGGGAATATTAAAAGGCGATTCATCTGTTTGATCTCCTCGTTGTAGTTAGAGAAACATATAGGTGTCGTAAGCAGGATCGCTTTAGTGATAGCCTCGGTACCTCTTGTGAAATTCAGCGGTATAATTGGAGAAATCAACCGCCGATTTTGCTCACGTTTGGAAGTCTCAGTTTCGTTATACGAGCAGAAGCTGTTTTAAATTTTAAATTTCTAAATTTTATTGAATGTGTAATTGATATTCCAAAGTTCACTCACTTCTTGCTAAAACGCAATTGAAAACAATGAGCGTCCCTGTCAACAATATCCGCGGGCTATTAATGTGTATAGAGGTAACTTGGTTGGCACTCTAAGCAGTCACTTGCAGTTAGTTACAGATACCTACTGAATACGAAAGAAAGTCTTGCGTTTAACCCTTAAAATGAATTGCTTCTAATTTCTTCTTTCGGTATTACCCTTCGGATTTCAGAAGCTCCCGATTGCCAACTAAATTCTCCTTGTCGTAACCATAGGATACGTATATAGAACAGTATGGAGAATAGGCATATTGATGTTGGGGTGTAAAATGGTTAATTATAAGTTGCCGTAGGCTTGAGAATGTTAAAATGATATGATAAATCAGCGAATTAACTTCATTGACGGCTGTAGGGCTCCTAAACCCACATCGATAAAATATGAGGCTCAAAGTACAGTGGCAAAAGTTAGGAGACGTGTACTTTTTTTCTTGCCTGTCTGCTTTGATATTCGTCTTCCCCTTTAACCCCGTGAACACTGTTGAGGTTTCTGTATCTAATTAAGTTTTTTGAGTTGAGTTCAAAAGTTCAAAATTTTTATTTTTCTTAAAGGAACAGGGAAAAAGAGTTGTTGCTAAATCGGGTTATAGTCTCTAAATTTAAACTACTTCGTCATGGATCATTATTTCATTCAACTTCCTCTACACTCAACACAAAAGGGCCTTTTGTTCCAACGATCAGGTCACCCCTAGGCCTGATAAAGGCACTAGACAGGAGTCTCAAAACGTTGGGTGGATGAATTGTAATTTCGGTTACATTAATTAAATTTTTAAACCAGAGTAGCATCAAACCATGTCCTCAACACTTTCCTCTCTGATTACACAACCTTGGCCGGGCGTTTGAACTTTCCAATCTTCTTGGCCCCCACCTGTCTGAGTACTGCTTTTAATCAACTTATGATGGTTTGGATGGTGCTTGATACAAGTCTGATTAGTCCAGATATAGTTTGACTGGCTAAAGTCCAGCAGGCACAACGAGTCAGAAGTCACTTTCCTGAAGACTAAGGCAACAGCAAAAGTAGAATTTAAAGTACCAAAAATAGTCTTTGCCACTCACAATCAATAAAGCCCCGAGTAGAATTGCAAATCTATTTTGTCACGATAAGATTATTTTTAACAGCTTCTTGATAAGTTAAGGTTTATCTTGAATTGCGATACAAAGCTGACACTGTAAAAGCTCAAAATATCACTTAAATTTCTGGTTACACAGACGGTGATCTGCACATTAAACGCGTGTGTGAGAGGGTTCACGCGCAAATAATCACGCGCAAGCTGTGCACGTTGAATATCTCGATTCTATTTCATTATGACGTGAACAGCGATGAAAAGTTTTAACCACTGACTAGCACGGTCATGACCTTTATATAAGTGGTCCATGGAATCCCCAAGCGTCTCATTAGCTATCTTAAGCGTATTTAAGACAACCGTATTTCTGTTCAAGGAGTGGCAAGGTGTTAGTCAAGCCAGGGAAGAAAAATGAAGGTGTTCTCAAGCAAAGGTGGCGTTTGCGTCTTTCTCCTCGTCGTTCTGGCTGCTTCAATGATATTAGCAAGACATATCCAGAAAGGTAAACCAAAGAAAAGTGGACCAAAGAAAAACACACCAGCTATAAAGGACGCACACCCAAAGCGCAAGGATCATAAGGAGCGTGGAGAAAACAAAGAAACAAGATTGAAACAAAAGATTCGTGCCGAAGGTGAGTGCTTCATCATTCGTAGATGCTTGAGAGATTTTCCATTATTGTTGTCAAACGGAATTGATTGATCTTTGCATGCCCATATAATCCTCCAATGAGCACAGCTTGGCTCTCGGAGTTTACCGAATACCATGACTTCAAAAAAGCTTTTTTGCTATTTTTTTTTTTTTTTTATTTCCTTAAGTTCAAGGCAATCATTTATTTTCCGGTTAAAAAACTTATGCACTTTTTTTTTATAAATTGTGTGTACCTGGAAACCGTTCCGCGTGAGATGTTGACTAAAGGTGTCTCCGGTTTCATTACTTTAAATAAGGTAAACTACCCTATTTTTTATTGCAACGCTCAGCTTTCATCGTAAAACAGTAACTTAAAGTAGCCAGATGTCATCAAAATATATACGGGATAATTACATTCAACGATTGTCAGCAAATTTCTTTTCCCATGAGATGGTATCATCTCTACACACATTTCAAGTAGCTTTTTAGGGTGCAGTGTCAAGAAATCAAAAGTAGAATAGACTTTTGTGCGGTTCTAGTAGTGGGGAACCTTCCCTAATAGATTCACCAATGGGAACAAGAAGTTCCCTGTTTATCAATTTGAAAAAAAGAAAGGAAAGAGCTTGATTTTGGAATTCCATACTAGAATAACTGATAATTTTAGGAGTGTAGGCGCCTCTGTATTCATTTCCCAACGTATAGAAAAACTTAGTAGCTATACAAATGTGGTCAACGCTAAAACGGTTTGCGTGATACAGTTTGCGGTACACATTGAATCACTGTTGCGGGAGGCAACCAGAAACCGGAGGTCTTAAAACGCCAAAGTGGCCTTCTTGCTAACATTTTCCTCTAAATTTAAACATTTTTTTTTAATTAAAGGGTTTACGTGCGTCTCGTGCTTTTTCATTTTTTTGTTTTTTCTAATCTGTATATTTGAATTTCCACTTATCCAATTATTTCGCTCAGAGGGGTGCACGATAGATATTCCCCTGCATGTGCGCTGTGCGTTTAAAGATCTGAAGTAAGCCTCATACAGGTGTGAGTAAAGCTTAGCATTTTCGAGTTCTGTTTAACCATAGAGCCAAAAAAAAAATGCTCTTGGACACAAACTGTTCCACACAAACACAATCACAATGAAGCTGAAAATGTCTAGCTGATAATTTTCTGATCACTCGAAAGCTTTTCCATCAAGTCTCGCAAAAAACGTTTGAATAGCTAGACCAATAAAAAAAGGACCACTGTCTCTCTTTTGATGCAAAAATATGAGCTGGAACTATGGACTACAGTATTTCTTGATACGAAAGTTTATTCAATAAAGTACCATGATTAAAATAACCACGGTTTAAAGGAAATTTATAATTAAAACGTAATCACCTATCAGAATTCATCTTGAGGTAATTGAAGTGGCCTGAGATATTGAAAGATCTAATGCAGCCGGGAGAAATATTTGGACGAATACAGCGCGTTATGTAAGGTTCGAAATTCTATTTCATTATAACTTGATTACCTAACCACGTTCTGCGGGTTCAAGCGAGGACGACCAATGGTAAACGCTTCACAGTTCAACTTCGAAAACGACCGTTTACAAGTCGTCTTTAATAGCTAAAAAGCAAATTAAACTAAACTTACAGAAAAAAAGTAACAAGTTTAAAGGAAGTCTAAGATAATACAGTGTAAACCACGTATTGGATACAAGTAACCTGGGGTTAAAATGTACGTCATTCTATAGAATATTTTTGTCAGGAAGATATTTGGTTAGCAAACTGAGACAAAAAAAATCGTTTACACGAAAAATCATGCAAATAACTCCCACGTACAGGTACATAGATTTGGTCAGTGTTTCATTGTTTAGCTGCTTTATTCTGTTGTGGTGACGCCATGCGAAGAAACTCCATTGTTCACTCTCTGCCTTGATGAAAGCAGATAATTAACAAAACATACATAGATCTTTTTACACAAAAGGCACTATAGTAGACTAAGCAAATGTTCTCTTACCGATTGGGAAATTATCAAGTCAATGATGAATTCCTTCAGAGTCATTGTCGCTTACATACTCATCCAGGGAATTGAGCAGAGCTCTCGCCGGCGCAGTCTGAGCTATACAATATAAGTCGTTTCCTCATCTTTGAGGCCGCCCTAGACTCATGCCTTTGTGAATCAGTCGTGTTGTTCACACACAAGATTCCAGAGATTTTAAGCACAGCAACATGTCCCAAGCCAAGTACGTCAAGAAAACTGATTTTGGAGAGGGCGTTCGTATCGAACAAAATGGCGGTGGCCTTGAAAATGAGAAAATTTCGTTTGAAAGAAAACGTTCGAGACAAGAAAAGGTCCTGTTGGTCATGTTCTTGGTTGTTTTGGTTGTTGCAATCATTTTTGTCGTTCTGTATGCCTGGCAAATTACCAGCCAGAAAACCGAAGGAGATCACGAAGTCTCGTCTAAAACAACGAAAAGTCCTTCCTCAATGAAGAATCCTTCAACAACGAAAAATCCTTCAACAACGAACAATCCTAAAACATCATCATCAACAGCGGCACCAGTCTGCTATTCCTCAGACTGCGTAGTGACTGCTTCAGGTAAGCAGTATTATGATGAAGTAAAACTAAAGGATACAGAGACACCCCTTAAAAAATTCGTTACAGTTGTGATGTAACTATTGTGTGGCTGCTAGTTCCTCAAAGCTTCCCGACATGATGTTGGGAAGAACAAATGTCTGATGAAGTTAAAAGAAATTTTTCCTCGGCTATATTTCCACTATTGAAATTTCGTAAAGATCCACCTTTGTTTCATCGTTTTTGCGCTTATGAAGTATTAAGGTGTCCACCGTGCTTTGGTTTTCTTTTGTATGCTCATTCAGCTACTTAGGTTAAATTAATCCTATTGTTTGGTGATATTGCTCGAAATAATCCCAAGTAACTGGCTAGCACCGTTTTACTTTGTTCAACTGAACAAATGTTCAGTTAATGGAGTGTAACTGTTAATTGGAAGTATGTACGCTAGTTTTCGAGTAATCTTTTAATTTGATATCCTGCAGAAGTTATGGTTTATGCGAGCCATGCAGCGCATTTTCTAAACAAAGGCTAGAAGAACAGCATAGATATTATTAAGCTAAAAGCTCTTTTTTTGCGTGACTTTTTCAACAAAAATGAAATTAAATGAAGACTGCATCGTTACCATTGTTCAAATTCATTTGCGATTGCATAGTCGATTTTAACACCTTGTTCACCAAGGTATGTAAGAAGCAGTTGTCATGGTAATCATCGAGTGGATTTTCGATAACAGATCGCACCTTGAAACGGAACGCGTATCAACCCCAGTGACTCTGTTTTCGGACGCCCTCGTCGGCTCACGAACACGTGTGAAACCGGAGAACTTTTCGAGTAATTTATAGTCTGTCTTGCCTCCGTTGACATCTATTTTTCCTTCACAAAAACTACAGTTTACAAGGTAAGTTACCGTTGAAATTTCACGCACATAACACGAACTTTTCATTGTTCAACTCAGTTTCCGCTAGCAGGCGCGGTGGCCAATGAACCAAAACACATCACTTACACGAGTTAGTGACCTTTAAAAACCTGGAAATTTGTCAAGAAATGTCTGGAGCAAAATACCTCAAAGTCTCGGACTCTGTTGAGGCGATACACGTTCCAGGAGAACTTGAAAGCAACGAGACAGTAACGTTTGAGAAGAAACAAAGGCCAGGAAAAGAGTGCCTTGTTTCGGCAGTTTTCATGATTGTGTTGGTTCTGGCGATAGTTTTCATAACTTTGTTCGTTCATCAGCTTTTTAAAAGCAAATCCTGTAATCTTGAGGGAAGAAGAAAATATGAGACAAACTGTCTCTCGTCGGGCTGTGTTCTTGCTGCAGCAAGTAAGTTTATTCGACAGTTCCTAGATCGTTTTGTATTTCATTGCTTATAAGAGCAGATAATATGTGACCGGAAAAACAGCCTGGGGGGAAAAGAACAATCTCGTTGTCTCGGTTCGATTTGTTAGCGTTAAAATATGTTTAGTGCACAGCATGGCTCGCCCAAAGATGTAATCTTTTTGTAAAGACCCTAGGATAAATAGAAAATCTTAGTCCTCCAGGTGAGATCAAACTCAGACCTCAATCAGATTTCACCCTCCAATGCCCCTGCTCGAGAGCTACATTTCACTCTATGTTGAACTTATAATAGGTTTATTAATTCGTGACAAGCGTGCTGCATACTTCAAGGATCAACAACGTTCTATTTACTCCATTTAACTGGAGAAAATCGAAACAATAAGAGAACATTCAGCTGAGTTAGAAGCCGAATGAAAACTAAAAGTGAAGCGTATAGTAGTGCCTTTTTGATGTTATTTAATTCATTGCTCGCCTCGCTTCGTTAATATTCCGTTTCGTTTTCGATGAACAATTGAACTTCGCCGTCAGGTTATGAAGAATTAACTTAGTACGAAACTATTTGGAGGGTAGACGGTTTTTCAAAACTCCTCCAGGGGTTTAAAGAATTTTAAAAGTTTTTTTAAAAGTTCTCAGTGCCATGCATGTCCCTGTGTCCTCGAACGTTCTGGAAATGCAGAGAATATCTTGAATATTTCTTATAATGTGAGATTTATAACGGTAATTGAGATAGGATTAGCTAAGTTTTGGATGACGAGTCGTTTTAAATTTTTTCCGAAATCCTATTGGCGCGAAAATGTGGTGACAGGTAGAGATTTTAAGATTTAAGTAGCGTCTATATTTGCATTCGGGGATAATATGAAGCAAAAACCAGCTTTATCAGACTGCTAATTTTTTCTGATTCTGACTGCTGACGGTTAAATTTTGGGTCTGACGGTAATCAGGGAGATATTTCTTCGATGAGTTTAAGTAAATATCAAGTGTTTCATCAATTTCATCAATAAACCACACTGATAAACCATGTGGGGTGTTAGGATAAACCACGCGGAATGTTGGCAGAACACCTTAAAAGTTTGTAGACCACGAGACGCAGTCGAGTGGTTTACAACTGAACTTTTGGAGTCAGTTCTCCCAACATCCCAGGTGGTTTATTAACCGATAGAAAGTGTGGTTTATCGGCTTTATGTTATAAATATGAGTGAGGTTGGTTAGAGAGAATGATAAATTTAATCTTATTTTGTGATCAAGTCGACGTGATTCTCATGAAAACCGCCAAAAAATGCGATGAATCAATCAAAGCGCCGGAAACTGAATGATTTTTCAGCCAGAAGAACGAAGACTG